TGAGGGTCGCTTGGCAGGCCTTGGTGGCTCTGTCATGCATGATCCCTGGCGCCAGTCTTCTGGTCATACCCATCATGTGTTGGCTATGTGGCTGTAAGAAAACCCACATGCTGGGAGAAAGAGGAGCGGCTTCACGTGAAGTACTAATGTGGCTTACTCTTGCTTGGAATGCCATCACGGACGTCTTGTTCCTCGTTGCGTGCGGGCTGGCTTCTGAGGAGGGCATCAATTTGCGTCCGATTGTGGAGCAGATACAACTGCGACAGATTTCAGACATACTTACCTTGGGTTCAGTACTTCTTTGGCGCGTTCTCTCGATTCACATCATTGAAGTGTCTGTAGAAGTCCACAAACACAAGGAGGCTGCCTTGAAGAAACTGAATTCCAAGATGGAAAAGATAGTTGACGAATTACGCTGGAGCGTGAAAGGTGAACATATACCACGAAACTTTGATCAAGTTAACAGCATGAGGGGTAAAATATTGCGTTCCCCTCTGGAGCTTTGTCTGAGTGCAGGCTCGGCAATTGTTCTGACAGTAGGCATGCTGTTTCTGCAGCTGAGAGTAGACCGGGGAAATGCAAACTCCGAAAAGCTGCGCCTGGCAATGGTGAGGATTTTTTCATTCGGCTTGAGTGGCTCGCTTTCCATCAATTCTCCCATATCACAGACAGATATTCCATGGACAAGGGTGGTCAGCAGCGTTTGCATTTCTGCCTTAGGTGGCTATAGCTGGTTTCGAGCAATAGCAGGTATTCTTGCATCAACTCGCCTTATCAGGACAAATCGGGATCAATTGCTGTTGTTTTTGTATGAGTCTTCTGACCGCAACAATGAGTACGTGAGCGATTCGGAAAGACGCAGCTTGGGTGGGGGACAGGGACTTTCAGAAGACAGACATGTCTTTGCCCCCTTGGTTCTGCGGAAAGCGACGAAAGCTGAGGACGTTAAAGCGTGGTGGGAGTTGCGCAGGTTTATCCAGGTTGATTTTACAGATGAGTCTGCAATTATGGATGCTTGCGGATTCGTTGTCATCGTGCTTATCCTGGGCCTGCTGTTCTGTGGTAAGTGGAATGGTCACTTTATGGAAAGCTTCTTTCACCTGCATTCTTGTTGATTGGCACATTAGTCCTTGTTCTCACGATCGCCATGTACCGGGTCTTCGAGGTCTGCATAGAGATCAACAGTCTCTTGGACCGCGACATGCTCCTATTGACTGATGCCATGCTTGAAGCAGCATGTCGTCCAGATAATGAGTGGCAGAAGATCCTTGCAGCCTTGCAGGTGATTGAGCGCAAGCTGAGCTTCTACGATGGCAAGCAGAAACTTCTTGGTCTCACAGTGACTGCCAACCTAAGGAACGGTTGGATCGCATCACTTGTAGTTGCATTTCTGAGCTGGGGCTCTCGTTTCATGATGCCGTTAATGTCTCATTTAGATGTGGACAGGATTCAGGAATTGCTGAAGCAGCACGGGCTGGGGTCGGAGAGCGAGCCTAGCTGATGTTTTCAGCATCACTCCCGACTCCTAGCTAACCTCAGCGGCAAATTTGTTTTCAAGCCGCAAGTCCAGGTTGGAAGCCATTTAAGCAGAAGCGGTTGATCTGGGGGAGGATTTCCTCCAGGGATCATCCGATAAAAGATGGAACAGTCCTTATTGTAAGGTCAACTTGGGGCACAAGGCCTAGCCACAGGTTGCGCCAAGAGGGCCCTAAACGGCTCGATCTCAAAGACATGGATGATATCAAAGCTTTATTCTGCACACAAAGCACCAGAAACATCACCATTTTGATGAGAATGCTCCCATAGCTGCTTTGTTTAGTATAACTCCGATTGCGACCGTGAAGCCTAAGCCCTCAAGTTCCAACTTTGGCATGCTGCCTTTGCGAAGCTTAGGCACGCGCGTGATAGCTCAGTTCCATAGGCCAAAGGCCGATGTAACTCTGATGCAGATCGCGGCCCCAAGATACAACAAGTGAACGTACAACTCAAGATGTTTCTACGGGGTATGTAAGCACAATGTAGATGCCCATTGGCATCTCAGGGGCCCTATCTTGCGGGAGTTCTGCTCATCCTCCATGGAAGGGAATACCTTTCTCACAGCTGAGAGGGCTGTTGGATGGTGCTTACTAGCTTGGCTGCAGCAGCAAGTTCATCACACAGTGGAAAGGGTGCAGCATGGAGGCATAGTGTAGGAGCCTTATGGAGGGAAGGTGTTAGATCTTGGGCGCATGTAGAACTTCCAGCTTAAAGGGTGTGTCAACGAAAACCCCTACATGATCACACCCAGCTTGACCGAATGACAGCGACACATATTAGCCGCATCAGGTTTAGGGGTTTAGGCTATGGCTGGGTTCCTGAGAGGGTGCTGGAGGATTTAGTGCTGGGGGTCATTACGGCGCATGTTGACGGACGTTGGGTTGCCAATGGGTCAGGTATGGGTCGGTTTTCCGGAGTCCCTATAAAGAGAGATCATATTGCTTTGACGATCTATGGGAGGGGACCATTATTCTGAAAACTTGTTAGCCATAACGTCTAAGTAGATGAGTGAGGGGTTTGTAACCTTGCCACCTTCAAGTACAGCTATGAATACGATGATCATGAGAAACCTCCTGTAGACCCTTTAAAGTATGCGTGAATACTTTTCATCTTCGGATTAGCACTTGGAGTTTGGAATGTAGGATGTAGGGCTTATTGGCATCTGGGGTCGAGAGCTTTGGAACTAGGATTTGGATGCAGGCTTCACCTCAATCACGCGCACACAAACCACTCAAGTGTTCATACGATGGCAGTTTTCAGAAAATGTGTCTTTTGGGAGGCTGTCGTAATTTGTCCTCGGGCCAGAGCAAGTGCAAATCTAAAACGTCTCGTCGACTGCATGTTGAGCATAAGAGGTCTTCGCCTGCACCTGTTTTTGAAGCCCTCGGAAGACAAAGATTCCTAGTTCCAGAAGCAACTGTGCATGCGGCTTGTGACATGGCGACCAAGCTCCTATCCAGACTGTTCTGTCGCAACAAAGTTGGCTCAAAGCAATGGCTACTGGTGCAAGGAGAACTCTTCGAACATCTTGGGATGCAAGTAGAAAGGCGTAGCTTCACAGATAAAGCTCTAAACCCCCAATCCCCCAAATCGCAAATCCCAAGCCCCCTAAATCCTACAAAACAAATTCCATCAGGCCTGTCCCAGCGGGCGGGCCATCGTAGCAAAGCCAATGGAGGGCGGGCGACCCATCCCTACGCCCGCGCGTGGTGTGAGCTTGCTGAGTTCTGCAGCTTGTAACTGTTTAGGGGGAGGTTATATCTGGATAATTGAAAATAACATGGAAATTACTATTATAATATATTGGGGTTACATAGGGATAATGGAAAAGCAAATGGCAACTACTAAAGGGTTTAGGGTTTAGGGTCCGCATGGCTTCAGCTGGTTTGAACAAGCCCTGGATGGTAGTTTCCAAGAACTGGCGTCCCCCCGTAGAATCTCAGACATAACATGATCTTTGTTGCCAGGACCCCGACAAAAAAGCCATGAAATCCGGAAACTCCCAGAAAATTGTCTAGACATGATATTGCCAGTGCAAGTAGCAGGGATCTGAAGTTGCCACAGTAACAACCATCACGAAGTCAAGAAAACCATCCACCAAGCCATCGAAAATCTCAACATGTTGCAGACTTGCAAACTGTAACCTAAACCTAGAACCCTAAATAGTAGTTGCCATCTTCTTTTCCAATATCCCTTTCTATCCCCTACCCCTATCACTTTGAGGTGGCTCCAGAGCAATTCCAAGCCGCTCACTCCTTGCTGCAACGCCTACCACAGCAGTTGAAGCAAGAGGCGGTTGCAGTTTTGTCTCGACGACTTATTCCTGAAATCCAGGCCTGTGGTCAAAAGTTGGCTGTTTCGGAAAGAGAGAGAGTGTGTGTTGACCCTACCCCCTAAATCCCAAACCCTATGTGTTTCTACTGAGTTGAGAAGATGCCATTGGTTTCTGCAAGGCTTGGATTGAGCAGTATGAGCATGCGCTGGATGACTCACTGGAGCCCGAAGAGCCACTCTCGGAGGAGGAGGGGCTTCCGTCGGATGACGATGAGGCGTGGGAATGAAGGAATGGAAAAGAAAATGGAAGCTATGGGAATTATAGGGTTTATGTTGGGGTTCTATAGGGATTATGAGGTATATATTGGAGCAAAAAAAAGAAAATGAATAAGAAAATGGAAGCTGCTATCATGGGTTATATCGGGATTACTTGAATGATCGCTTCAGAACAGATCAGGACAATCCACCCAAGCGCTCACGCAAAGCGCCGCCTGTGCCCGATGATGGCTATCCAAGCCTATGGAGAGGCCTCACACAAGGCACCAAAGGCTTCAATGCAGAAGCCAGGCGTGTTTTGAGTGCTTTATTGCCTGACGGAGAGCATGCATGGAGGTCGCCAACTCAAGGCAACATCAAGCTGTTACGGCAGCAAGAAGTTGTGGCATTGCTTGTGCATCCCAAATCACCGGTTTCCCGTCTCCTCTGTGATCACAACACGGGCTCCGGCAAGACTCTCTGCGTGATCCGGATTGTGGACAACTTCTTCTTCGATGGTCGTGCTATTATCGCCATCTTTCCCAAGGACAGCGTGGTTGACAATTTCTACACGTCGCTGTGGGAGTGGCCATCGCGTTGGCGCGACTTCTGTAGCTATTGCCATCCCCAGGTTGCAAAGCTCGCATGCAACTCTGTCGATTGGCGTGCCAAACGTGATGTACGATGGAACCTGGATGCTTCGGCTGAGTTGAGGGAGTTTGCACGCAGGGAGGGCCTGAGCAGGCAGCAGGCAATCAAGCAGAAGCTGATCAAGACCATGCGTGACTGCTTGGAGATGAAACATGCCTTCTACCGTGGGAAGATGAGAAAAAGCTACCTTCAGAAGCATCTGGATTACTTGTTCCAGCTTGCGCATGTTTTCGGTGCTCGTGCGCAGAGGTAGTGCTACTTAGCTGTTCTTGAGAGATGTAGTCATGAAGCCTAGGTACTGGGCACAGGCCGCTGATGACGCTGATGACGTTCCGCATCCTCCAGCTGCGCCACTCAGAGCCTATCGCTTCACCTCTGCTGGTGGGCGAGCTGCAGAGGTGGTTGACGGCGTGCCAAGGGGCTGCATCTTCAAGGTTGGCTTCGATGGCGAGAACCCCTACAGCGGAAACTTACTGGGGATTAGTAGGGAATAAGGGAATACAATCCCTACATAGTCCCTATATGATATACTCCTTTATTCTCTACTAACCCCAGTAAGGAAAAGTTGTCCTCATGGACGAAGGCCATCACCTGGTCCGCCCCAATAAGGTCTACGAATCTCAGCTGAAGAACCTTCGCCAATACGTTGAGTCGGCCCGCAACTCCGTTTTCGTGAGCTGCACGGGGTCTATGGAGGCTGATTCCAGCGCCGACCCACGGACATTGCTGGATGCAGTGAAGGGCATTGAAAACCAAGCCATGAGTGACGAAGGGTTCCTTTCATCGCACCACAAGCGTGGCCTTGGCTTCCCACGCCAGATCCCTACTGCTGTTAAGGAATTTCATTTAGGTCACTATAATAAGGAAACCGCTACGATTTACTATATACCCATATTATGGTAACTTGATTTAAGTTCCTTAGCAGCAAGCCAGGATCCCTACAGCCTGCGCAGACGGGGCCTTCTCGGAGGAGCTGGAGGGCCTCGTCCAGCGGGAGGAGCTCTCCGGCCATTCCCTCTCGCTCTACTTGTATCAGGCCATCCAGCTCGTTTTGGGGTTATATGGGGATAAGGGAAAAGAAAATCGAAACTACTATACATTATTTAGGGGTTTTGGGTTTAGGAAGGTCGTAGAGCTGCTTGAAGGGAAAGACCTCTTTATACAGGATACTGTCTAATGGCGCGTAACAGGCCATCCGGGTGCAGAAGGAGGAGACACCTGAGCAGACGCTGGCCAACTACACCAACATCCACGTCTACTCTGGCTCTGCTGGACAGCCAACCTGCAAGGCTCAGATCCTTGGCTGCTGTTACAGAACTTTGAATGGGGGTTTCCCAAAATTGGGGGTACCATTTTGGGGGTTCCCATAATAAGGACAATAGTATATTGGGGTCTATATTGGGGTCCCCCCATTTTGGGAAACTACCAAATAAGTAAGTATAATGAGGAGACCCTGTCATGTACTAGATTACTGCATTACACATAACATGGTACTCGTAACTTGATTTAAGTTCCTTAAGAAAAGCCCAGGATCATGAAGTACTCCAACTGCCGGCCCAAGTTTACGTTGGCCGTAGAAGAGGTTGTTACAGCAGCGAAGAAGGGACAAAAGAGTCTTGTTATGGTGAGCAAACGCACTGGTTACAAAGCTATGCTGTGGCTGCTTGAGGCTGCAGCTAAGAAGCATGGTTTCAGTGTGGCGGAGTATGACCAGCTGGCAGATTTCAACAGCACGGAAAACAGGAACGGCAAGAATTTCATGGTTCTCATCCTCACAACCGAGCACGGTGGGGAAAGCATCCAAGCGTTCTGTGTCCGTGCAATGCTTCTGCTGGATGTACCTTGGCTCCGAATGGTCGTAAGCAGCCAGTGCGCCTAGGGAATAGGGAATATACCTGCTATAGCGAAGAATCACACGGAAAACAAAATGGAAATTGAAATGGAAACAGGGTCTATAGGGGTGTTATAGCGCCCTATTAATCAGATTGTACTCCTTGCTTTGATTGCTGTGATCAACCTTGCCATTACCTCTGATCCAGCCAGCTACTAAGCTATCAGCAGCGGTAGATTAAATACTACGGGGGGAGTAGTTGTACTACTGCACTACTTTCTACGCACAACTTACTACATGCTACTAACTACGTACTACTTACTCCTTAGCCCTTATGCTCCTCACTCTCACCACCTCCTTATACTCCTCACCCTCGCTGCCAAGCTGCCGCAGCCGCCACCGCCACCGCCACCGCCAGCACCACCACCACCTCCACCACCACCACCACCACCACCACCACCACCACCACCACCACCACCTCCGTCACCACCACCCCCCCACCACCCCCCCANNCCCCCCACCACCCCCCCACCACCCCTTCTAACACAACTACTGCTGTTACTATTACAACCAGTGGTACGATGTGTAATAGGCAGCAGCAGTACCAATGCTATTACCTCAGGTGCCGACCCGTTACGCAGACCTGAAGCAGCGCTGCGGACGCGTGGTCCGCTGCCGCAGCCATGAGGACCTGCCCGAGGTACCCGAGCAGTATTTAAGATGTGGTCCCAAAGACAGGGATTTCCCTAAGTTGTGGGCGCCCAAAATACACTCCAAAATGATAGAATGAAACCTTGGATTTTTGGAAACCCCCACAGCTAAATAATCCAGCGTTCTTTCCGTGACTGTGTTATATAACAGGACATAACAGGATATAACTACTCACCTGTGATTTTGGAATTTGTGGCTTAGTCTGGCGAAGCATGGATCGAAAAGAACGCTTTGGGGACTGAGGGCTTGGCGTAGATTATGAAGCTTAACTTATGCAAAGTTCAGGGTTCAAGATTAAGGGTTGGATATCTTAGGTCCAGGATCGAGCCTTTGCTTTAGGGGTTCATAGCTTAGGTCTGCTCAAGATTCAGTGGCTCGGGGATGCTTGAGGGTGTTGTTTTGCAAGATGCTACGGTTGAGGACAGACCGTTATACGGCCCCAAGAGCCTGCTCCTCCAGCAGTAGCCAAGCAGCGGCAGCACCCTCGCTAACATTCCCATCTCTTCGTATGGGTTGTTCTCAAGATTATGAACCCTTTTTGGTTACATATTAGAGTACGGCACCTAATGTTTAGGGGTACCAAAATGGGATTATGATTATTACCATTTGTTCAAGGCGACCAGTCCCTTTGCCACGTTGTGCTTGGCAGGCAGATCGGGATGTGCGCTTCGTCTTCTTCGTGGCCGAAATGCCCGACTGCGGTCAAAACGATTCTTGCCTTTCTGGGGGGCTGTCGGCGCAGAATCCTCAAACTCAGTAGGCTTTTATATGGGATAGCGCAAGGGTAGCACAACCAGTTTATCGCTTTTCTGTGTTGGTATGTACACGGAGGTCCAGGTGCCCAAGCAAGCAGTAGTGCACGGCAGTTGTGAAGAGGTCCCTTTGTTTTTGGGCCATGCGCAATATGAGGAAGTTGGAGCATTTGCACTGTGGGCCTTGTGTGGCTACTGGAATGGCCCGAAGAGGATCAATTACTCGTCCGAACCGGACCCCGAAGAGATCACAGAGATCAGCGAGGCCTTCAGCCAGAGCATGTCAAGACGACGCATCCAAAGCCTGGAGCACCTGACTCGGTCCCTTCCTCGTATTGGCATCCCAAAGCTACTGAGTGAGGTGGCAGACCCCGCCGAGTATCCTAAGTCAGCACGCCGGCTGCAGGCTGGACTGCAGCAGCTGCTGGATAAGCCAGAGTCCATTGCAGAAGTGACAGAGATGCTGCCTACCACCACCTACGATGAAGTCAAGGTCGAAGAGCTCATGCAGCAGCTTGCAGAGATGGCGCCTGCGTTGGACCTCGTTCGCTGCAGCGCCATTGATGCAGGGTTTTATTGACTGAGGTGTGAGTACGTGCTTATTTTCACATAGCGCATGGAAACATTCTCCACACCCCGGTTGACGGGATCTTAGACACGAGGGGCCTGCAAACGAGGCACTGCGTGGGGCGCATGCTTCGGGGAGACAGGTTGAACCTTCGTTGCCAATGCGCATTCCAAAGTGTCAACAAGACTACCCGGAGAAAATCAACATGATCGCATACAAGAACTTTACGAGATGAGACGTAAGGAGTTGCTGATGGAGACTCCCAAATCCGCTGAGTGATCCTCCTGCAGCCCTACAAGTCCCTAGTAAAGGCTCCCTCCTTTGAATAACATTGGCGCGATTCCGTAAAATGTCTCAGGCCCTAGGCGGGATGGGGCCAAGGCCGCGTTCGGAAGCAACCATGGACATAGATCACGACTTAGAGATTTGATGGTATATACCCTACGATACCATAGTAGTTTCCATCTTATTTTCCACTATCCCCACATAACTCCAATATTACCCCAATGGGTTTTGCATTAGGTACTATGCCTATTTCCAAAAGATGCGGGGCCAGGCCCTGTTTTGGCTTTGCGCAAATCCGTCCGGATCGCCCCTTTCCTCTTCCGGGCCTCTCGGCCTCTGGCGGGGCCCAGACCGGCTAATCTCGAAATTCCAAGACTTGGGATGATTCACGCCGGATTCGGAATTCTTGGAATTTGGAGTCGCTGGATCCGCATTCCATTATGTTGACCTAATTTTCTTTGAGGCCAGTGCCCCCATGAACGGCCAAGACCTGGTCTGCCTGTCTGTCTATCGTTTTTTGGTTCTGTCTACTTGTCTATCGGTCTATTTATCTTCATGTGTCTCTGTTTGTCTATTTTCTTTCTTATGAATCTACTTGTTTGTCATCGACTCCATCTATGAATCTGTCCGTTTATATTCTCTAACCTATCTATGTCTCTATATATCTCTTGATTTGCCTTTTTCTGCTTATCTATAGATCTCTATCTATGATTCTATCTCTTTCTCTCTTTATATATATATAGATATTCGGTCGATGGCGATGGCATGATATAAAGAATTTCATATGGATATTTCTAAATGAGAGATATATATAATTTTTGACAAATAGATTGGAATCTTAGATATTTAGAATTGATCTATTATCTCATAAGATGCACGATTGAGAAATCGACTATATGAATTTGATATATTCAATGATAGATTATCAAATTGATATTTTGATAAATAGCGTAATCCAGAAATAGGAGAAATATTCGAGAAAATATTAGATTGATGATTTATTGATATATTGCAGGTCGAAAGGAGAATAGATATTAATTAATATAAAAAAGATTAGATATTAATATATTACGTTGATTTAGAAGAAATGTCTTAATGGAATAGATGAGAGATTAATAATTAGTTAGAATGATAGAGCGAAAAAAATATGATTAATGAAATTAGATGCGAGAATCGTATTTAGATAATAATTAAGAAATATTTGAGTGAATGATATTCATTCATTTTAAGAGATTTTTTTGGGTATGTATAGATTTTAATTAATAGAATATAGAAAATTGATTATTATATATGAATGAATATATATTATTGATATAGAATTTGAAATATATTTTATAACACGAAATTGTATAAATATAATGATTATTTATTTTTATTTATTAAGATGAAGAAATTGGATTGTAAGTCTATTTATCTAAATTGTTCTTTTCTCTTACGAAAAATATATTCCTCTATTACGATACGTTCATTTGCTTTGTTTCGTTGGCGCACCGCTTGGGTTTTGTGGTTTATGTTAAAAAGGGCTCGATTCTAGAGTCTCGAAGATTTTAGAATTCTTCGGAAAAATT